AGAACACTGTTAGGGGGGTTGGGTGTTTTACTACATGTAGCAAAACACCCAACCCTCCTAACAGTGTTCTATTACCTTCTTCCTGGTGTTCATTTAGAAGCGCGAGTAATTTAAGCGGGGAAGGGACTAAATTAACTTTCCTCAAGTGCTCAGATATGTACTGTGCAATTACACCGCTAACGGTGTTAATATTTTTCTGTGTGCGGCCAGTGTCCTGCTAAAACTTGATGTTTTCGCACGGAAATCATAAAACAGACCTATTCTTATCACCGAAACCATCCAAAGGACATAACCAAAAACCATCTATTTGAATTGACGAAATTGGCAGGACGAGACATAGCTCGACGTTGGACAAGGTTTCAGAATAATTGTCTTTTCCTCGCAATCATTGCATGTTCTGACTGTTGTTATTTCTTAACGTTGCATAGGATCCATTTATCTATTTTCCATGTTTCCACTTCTTCTGGATTGTTTTTTTTTTTTGCTAAATTGATGCGTCCCTGTTACCGTTATCTTAATTTGAAAATTATGAACTGAATATTATGACAGAAGATGTGTGATTTAAGAACAACACAAATGGAATATCAAACCAAATGCAAAGGCACTAAGCAGGCTCAGTACAAGACAATAACATCAGAGAAAATAACGACTTCTGCCCATCTATCACTATTCGTTAAATTCCACATAAAGGCTAGCAGGTATAAATATTTTCAAATATCAGTCATACCTGTGCTATCCTTTTTTTTAAAGAAAATTCAAACCATTTGTTTGCTCTAGAGGATCATAAGATCTCTTTCCTCTATTGCTTATCATTTTCTTTTTTAGTGGGATGTGCTTGGTTGGAGACGTCCGTAAGACATCATTTAATTGTGTTTTCAGTGATTGAGTTAAGCTTTTCTTATATAACCTTCCACTTCTAAAATAATGCACCAGACCCTGCATTACATGACAAGATTATATAACCAGCAGTGCTCTTTGGCTGTGAAGCGAACAGGATATGATTCAGTGTGGCGTTGTGCACCCGTCCTAATACCACCAGTTACGCTCTCCTCATGAACACAGCAGATTCGTCACAGCATTGCCACGCTCACCCGTGGCCAGCACACACGGACGTCACTCCTGCCTCATTTATCCCCGACACTCTTTTTTCATCCTTAAATGTCTTGTATGTTTAGGTTCTGTCTTACTATATATGCCCGCCATCTGTAGGTGATGCGCTAGCCCAAAATGCATAACTCAGACGATTACTATATAAATAAGCACATGAGTAACAAGAGCTCATGGGTATGGGTCGGTCCATTCACCGCTATTTATGTCGTCCCCAACATTCTAGCGCACACCGTTCGATCACTTAGCTGTTCATCATAATGCGTCGAGTACCGGTGTAACGGTCTGTAAGTGCCCGATACAGTGCCGCGCCTCCCATCGCCGCACCGGCCGCTGCGCCGCAAACGCCCTCTAACTACTCAGAGGCGCCACGAATACCGCGCTCCTAACGCCGCGCCATGAACGTCGAGAACACCGCCTGCCTGTTTGGTAAGCAGTGCCACAGCGCTAGTGACCCGATTTCGCTCAGCGGGGTCGACCTTTTGGAATGTTCTGCTCCGTTAGTTCAGCGGCACGGATGTTTGACGTGGCACGAGAAACTGGCCATTCTCGGAAGTTTGCCGGAGATTGGGAGACTGGAGAGCAAGAAGTGACACCGCCGACCGGGTAAACAAGGCTGCGGAGTCTGAATGATAATGAATGCTGAGATATTGTAGTATCGCAACTTTAGTGAAGAGGGCTTAGCTGCTTCTGTATAAAAGTTGATGGGATGAGGATGTAAATGCATACTAAAACAGCTGTGTAGTGTGTACGAATGATCCACTTACAAATAAAATCAAGAGTACTTATATGTTCATATATATTGTATGCAACAAACATAATGTTGATGCTACCTACATGTTAAAAGTTTGAAAAAAAATGTTTTATTATGTGGTCCATTTTGAAATTTTGAAATGAAAAAGTTTCTCTGTAGCGCAAATAAGTACAATAACGAATGGCAACGTTCGAAAAGCGGTATCGTGAGGGAACTGATCGTAGCCACTAGCCAGTGCCTTCGCTGCAATGCATCGGAACACCACTTCTAGGCTTTGGATGATGATGCATACATTGCATTCGGGTGAGACAATTAGATAGTTGAGTGGTCACACGCTTAAGCAGATACCCTCACTGAAAACAATTTCACCCAAAACTGGCGAGTAAACCGGTGCCTCGCGGGTACCCCTATCCGCAACCATTTTTAACCACCCTCCCAGGAGTCAATTTAGGACATAACACTTTCGCAATTCACTCTGGAGAGTAGTAACCCTCCACGACTATTCGCGCACCAGTGGCTCGCGACCCCTCCATCGAAAGGTATTCATCGACGCCTACCTGGCAGCAGCGCCCCACAAACCCCTAGGAGATGGGGTTACCCTCCACGCCTACCCTTCGCCGACCAAGTCACGAGGGCCCAAAAAACTCCCACGCTTGACCATATTTGCGGGAAAATATCTATATTATAGCAATCTCACACCTAGAAAACATCGGTGAGAAAGTTTCACATCGGTGGGAAAGGTCAACTCGAATTCCCATAGAAATTTCGACATGACCCAGTCACCGGCAGTCATGCAGACCGCCCGAAATCAAGGAGATGTGTCGCCGTTGCTTTCGTGACCTATATAAGAATCAAAATGGTCTCACTAGGTAGTTTCGGAAGAAAAAGCGTTGCCAATCGTCCCGTGATGAATATTGCAGAGGTTTTAAAGATGCACCCTAACAATTGTACTTTCGCCCCCACTTGAAAACCGCCAAACAATGTGCCAACATATCATTGGTTCAAAAAAAAGTTAAAAAATTGTTGTAATTCAAAACTGTTTGAGACAACGCCATCTAGTTGTAACAGTAGATCCAACTCCTTCAGGACAGGTTATGTAAAGGTTCGCCATCCACGGATACGCGTTTACGATACCTCGAGTAGTTCCAACTCTTTCAGTGAGGGCTGTGCCAATGACCCGACACCCGCGGGGACAATATCCGGTGCTGGGTAGCTACCTTACTGCAGACTGTGGGTACAGAGCATATTTACACTGAAAACAATTTAACCCAAGGCTGGCGAGTAAACCGGTGTTTTACGGGTACCCCTATCCGCAACCATTTTTAACCACCCTCCCAGGAGTAGTGCTAGGTCCCATTGCGGTGTAGTCGTACTTGCTCTGAGCGAATATAACCGCTGTCAGCGAACAAGTCCGCTGAGAGCAGGGACGACTACACTGCAATGGGACCTTACTGTACTCCTGGGAGGGTGGTTAAAAATGGTTGCGGATAGGGGTACCCGCAAAACACCGGTTTACTCGCGGGCCTTGGGTTAAATTGTTTTCAGTGTACGAGTAATAAGGCAGGCAAGTCTGCTTACCCTCTAGCTAGAATCTGGACATGGCGAGTTAATACACATATACCACCCGCAGAGCAACGCTTAATTCGCCAGCTTCGGGTGAAATTGTTTTCAGTGCTATCAAAACACAATCAGTGTATTCGGCCCATGCATTAGCTTAGACCCGATGAAATTAAAGATGCTCTCAGACACGTTTCGTTTGCTGCAGAAAATAGCTCTAAAGTGTTATCGCTGTCAAGACCTCTCAGCCATGCAGTACTGATGTTTAACATCGCATTGTCACCGCAGTTTACTTTTACCGTGCACTCTTTCGGAATCCTTTCACCCTTCGCCTGCATAATTGCAATTCAACGGGCGTAACGGAGGCGCCCGGCGAGCAGCAGCAGCCGCCTGACAAGTCTGGGATAGACTGTGCCGCTCAGCACGAGACTGCAATGAAACACAGGCAGCTATCTGAGAGATAGGCTGTGCCGCCGTGCACGGCGACTGCAGCGGCGCATAAGACAGCATCTGAGCAAACCCGTTTGGTGCGCGGCGGGTTAGTCTATGCAGTCAGGCTTCAGAGACTCCAGCGCAATGACTCGTGAATGCTGCACACAGGTGCGGCTCCGCGGTCTGCTGGCTAGTGACGGAAGCGCGGTGGTTGTGAGTGGGCATTTTGTGCAGCCATATAATGTAATGGATTCAGTGGGCACAATCTATGACGCAGCTCCGACGGCGTGGTATATTGCTGCTGAATGACAGAGCATATCCACCGGAGAACATTTGCAATTGAAATGTTCTTGTGCGACGTTAACAACAATGAAAGGGCATCGGCCGCTTGGGCTCGGCCACAAAGGCTAAGCAAGCATTATCTTTTTTATTATTTTCTTTCAAATCTCTTAGGCAGATTGTTGTACCTAAACTGGAAGTACTTACGTGCATGCATATTGCATACCTATTAACAGCGTCCTAATGTTACAAAGTCATTGATTGCCAGTTGAAGAGAGAAGCTCTCTCACCACTACATTGGAATTCTTCAGTTTAAACTAAACGTTTCGAAAACCTAAAGACGAAGTAATTTTGAATGCAATCCTGTCCAGAAGCTTTTACCTAATCAGCACATCCCAGCACAAATTCCAGTGCGTCGTAGTGCTCGAGAAATCGGCCCAAATACTTCAAATTTGAAAGTGATTCTCCACTTTTGCCGCCGTTTAACATTCACCACGGGATCTCATCTGAGGTGATAGAGATCAGTGACAGGGCGTTTTAGCGGTGAGGCTGTCGTTTTCGGCGCTGGGCCCCGCTGTGGGACCGGGCCCGCGGGGCCCAACCTATCCACACCTCCCCAGCGGGGGTGGCTGGCGAGCGGCGTACACACGGTCCTCGTGGAGGAGGCAATTAACGTCTCGAACGAAATCGGTGCCAGCGGGTGTGACATGGTCAGCTCTCACCAAATAAGGCGTGGGTGAGACTAAAACGCTCCCGCAAAGCTTCGCAAATGTGAAAGCAGTGTGAAAGCTGGGCGTCTTCCTGTTGGTCACTTCCTTCCATTAGCCGCGTTTTCTCGGGATGGCGACACACAGACAACAAACAGAGGGAGTTTCTCGCATGACAGATTTATTTTCAGCTCACGTGCTGTCGAATGAACAGACCTGATTCAATAACTGGATTGGCGTGGTCTGTGTAACCGGCAAGGAAGCTATTTGTACTGGGAAGTTGGAAAACGTAGTAGACTTCCCGTAGCATGGAGAAGTCGACTGAATATTACCATTCACTCGATCTCTCGTAACAACGGTTCGCAACAGACCTAGCATGTAGGTAACAGTGCCGTAACAATCACCTGAGTTGCACACCTTATAGCAGCGGCTCTTTCTCAAATCGAGATTCAAATAAATACATAAATACAGTTTCAACAACAGCTAACTGAACTACCAATAACAACGCAAGTTGGCGTGGCATCGGCGGGACCGCTCTCAGCTCACGTCAATAACGAATAACGATCGGTACCGCATTCCAATGCTCGATTTCCTCTCACACGTTCCACTAGCGGCAGAAACATGGCCTCATCAGGCAGCCATCATCGGAAGCCCGAAAAGCATTCCCTCCTCTTAGCCGTTGGCCGCTCGGTCACTGTCGCGACAAAGCGGACGGTGGCCCGCGCGGTACTTGCTACTGGCCGCCGCGCGGTACTCGGTACTGGTCGGTTGCGGTACTTAGTACTTGGACTCGGCAGAGAGGTACTCGCGCAGGCCCTTGGGGCACTTGGTGGCGTACGCCTGCTGGCAGTCCTGCTGCTCGGCGCCCCGTCGGGCGGCCTCGCGGAAGGCGGCGAACTTGCTGGAGTTCTCAACGGTCGACTCGTCGACAGAGCTGGGGGAGAGGTCAGTTAGTTAGACTCATGGACAGACTGGTCAGCTTCAGGGGACGGAGGGGAGAGAGAGAGAGAGAGAGAGAGAGAGAGAGAGAGAGAGAGAGAGAGAGAGAGAGAGAGAGAGAGAGAGAGAGAGAGAGAGAGAGAGAGAGAGAGAGAGAGCGAGAGAGAGAGAGAGAGAGAGAGAGAGAGAGAGAGAGAGAGAGAGAGAGAAAAAAAAAAAAGAGAGAGGGAGATATAGCAAATGACGTCAGTTCGTTTCAAACACCCTTTTTGCTTTTCAAACATGGAAAAAGTAGCAAGAAACTCTTTTGTCTGAGCTTCTCCTATCTTGTAAACTTCGAACAATGAAGTTTTGCTCATAATGAAGGGTGTATTTAGTGCGGAACAAGTAATGTCATAATAATTAACATACAGATCATAAACCAGTTGCTAGAAAAGAAACACCCGCCATGTGAAGTGAATCTGTTCCCTCCTTCACAAGTCAAAGTCGAATTCAAGCGTGCAGGAAATGCTCATTGAAAAAAGCCTATGACACTGTAATAACGATGAAGCAAGAAGCGTTTCCAAAATCTCATCAAGCTCCCTTCCTTCTGTTCGTCGTGATTTTGAAAAAGGAAGTCAGCTGGCCAGGGTTGCGTCAGAGCGCTTGTTTACTGAAGAAACCAGCCAATTTTGGTGGCAGAGCGGGTGAAAGTGAATCCAGGGCGCCATTCCGCTGAACAATGATTCAATTCTAGTTTCGTCCCATCAAAGCGAAAGCTCTAAACCGTACAGCAGACAGATTGCCTCAAAAGGTAATTATGACCAGCGCCAGGACAACTCTAGCCGGATAGTTTTATGAAACCGGTTTAAATTTTATGGACATTTTGAAATGAAATTCTATGGAAACATATTCTGTTCCAAGCATTTTAAGCCTTGTAAGAACGTAAACAGTTGGTGAGATTTGCAAAAACCCGTGTACCTATCAGCTGGCAATTTTATAAAATGATTTGACCTAAAAAAAGAAAACGAACAGAATGACAGCTGTAACACTCCGACTCAAAGGCCATTCATATCCTCTGGGGCTAGTTGAGCGTGTCAAATCACCCTCTAACGACCTGAGACAGCGGACGATGGGAGGCAGACGATCCTAAGTCAGTGAAATGTGACATAAACCTCCGATAATAGCGGCCCAGTGGAAACTCTCACCGGCCGCTGTGGCAGCTCACCGTACAGCCATGCACTTTCAGACAGGCACCGCAATCATAGAGGACCACGGCTGGCCAGCTGGTCGTCCGTATAAAAGAAAACGGGGCCTCCAGACGGCCGTAATTGGATCGTGATTTCTATTATGGTGGGTTTTGGTTACGGTTTGGTTTTGTGTTACCTTTTAGATGATTTCTACAGGTGGTGTTCGATGCTTGGTTTGATCGTTTCTTCGTATTTTAAAAATGCATTCTGCCATACAAAATTTCACTTCAATCATTCAATTAATTACCAGTACGATACTCATATTAAATGTTAGCCGATAATCCGGATCGTACAAATGCTTGGCCGCCCGATCCTGACGCTCTGACCCGGATCTCAGAGCCCTACCATCTGGTGATTGAACACTTTTCTGTTCCACTTACCCGATGAACTTCTGGATATCGGTGGCAATCTGACCGAACTTCTGGGGCGCGTCAGCCTGGTGGGTCTCACACACGGCACGCTGCTGGCACTCGAACTCGAGCACGCGCATCTTCTCGAAGGCCTGCTCCAGCATGTACAGCACCTGGATGGCATCATAAGCTGTGGAAAAAAGACGGGAGTTAGAGAAGTAAATGAGTAGGCGACATTGCGCGAAACGACGCATTGCAAAACTCACTTTGAAAATTTTAGATGACGGTAAACATTACGGTTATTGATTCAATTATATGCAGCTAATTATAAAAGAGGTGATGGGCCGTTGCCAACAAGTACGGGCCAAAGATCGGAGACATATGATGAATGTTTGCAGGGCCCATCAGATGCTTATCCAGCGTTGAGCTAGGAAATGGCACACAACACTGTTCATCAAAAGAAAAGCTTTCTAGAGAAGTCTCATGAAGTGGGCCATGTTTGTCCGAAGACGCCGTTGAATTCGTGTCACGTCTGACGTCTATTTATCGCGTTTGGCACAGCACTGGCACCCTGGAAGTGCTGAGTAATGATGCTATTCCTTTGTTTGGAATTGGAGTCAAAGAGAAAGCTACACTCACATTTTATCCCTCACATCTATCAAAAATACTCTAACATTATGTGGGTGAAAACTGCAAAGGCAATTGATAAATGGGAAGAAATAATTTGATCTCTTTGAGAAATCATTTTTTTGCAACACTGTAGCCATACTTTTTTCTTACGCATTGCCTGTTAAGATGTTAAAAGTGACCGATTTAATCAATTGAGCTTGAAACTGCGCATAATTACCCATTCATTGCTAGTTTTAGTCCAGAGCCTTAATTAATTGATTATTAATTAATTGATTGAGCAGCCATGGAACCGTTAACGCATGAATAATGCTCTTTACTTGGCCGGTCATTCCATGCAATTACGTTCTGATTCATCTCAGTTGAGTCAGCTATTAAGGTAATGACTTGGTATTCATTCTTTTTATCGTACCGATCACCACACCTGGCCAAAATCACCACACAACGGCCGGCCAGCGGGCAGTCCCTGTGTCGGACTCCGCTTCAGAAGTAGGTCGGTGTGCGCCCTCCGTTCGAAGTCCGCCGCGTTCAAAGTAGGTCCGGCCCTCCTCACCACCATTTGGGTCAGTCTAACGGTACTGAACAGCCACCCAGAAGGAGCCTTGGCCAGAACCGTCAGCATGACGGGACAGGTATCGATGACAAGGGTCGCACTCAACGCACACAGACTCGCACATGATAGGGATGTTAATCTCAGGTGATAAGGAATGCTGCTGCAGTGACTAGGTTTTAATTTCTATGGAGTGGTGCCATTGAGATGTAAATTGTAAAAAAGGTTCATTTACGGAGACTGATCGCACTTCAATTTGTTTATAGCGTATGGTGCGGGCGTGTTGTGCGGTCAGAAGTCTTCTGTGAGCTTTTCTCTGAATGTGCATGGAAACTAGGTATCAGTTAAGGGTTGAAATAAGTCAATCAGGAGGTGCAAAAAACACTTCAGTTGGTGCCGAATCCGTGTCGGTGAGGAGGTCGTGCAACACAAGAAGCTGCTCTATCGTCTGCTGTGAGCTGACAGGTGCACACATCGTTCGGTAGTGCTGGGAGGTCGCCGTTCGAGCCTCTGACCGTCACCTGATAGACCGCGGCTGCTCCTTGCCGCCGGTTCACTGCGCACAGTGGACGTCCAGCCCGCAAGCGTGTCCAAAATTCCAGAGACAGAGGCGCGGCCGCTGACGTTGATGCCGATTTGCAGTAAGGATATGAAGAGCAGCGCAGCCGCCGTGGCCAGGACGGTGAACATCACCTTGCCGCCGAGGCCGCCCATGAAGCGGGCGAACCCGTTGGCAGACCGGTTGATGGCATGGCTGAGCCTGCCGGTAGTGGTGTAGAAATCTCTGGCCGTGTTGCTGGCCGTCTTCTGCACAGTGCGGCGCAGGCCCTGTAAGGACTTCTGCACGTCGTACAGCGGCCCGTAGTGGTAGTGGAACTGGTAGCACTTGGTGCGCAGTCGACGCAGGTCCTCCCGCGAGTACGAGTTGAAGTCCTCCGGAGGATACTCGCTGAAGTCGTAGGCATCGTCACGATCCTCCGGGTGGACCTCAGGACGCTGCGTGGCGAGCAGGATACCCTGGCGGTCCTGTTTCACAGCAGACTGAGAGGCGCTGAAGTTATACTTAGACGTGGCGCCGGACCCACCGGGAAGCACGGTGAACCCGTTGGCCGTCTTGTAGGAGGAGTAGCTGGACGGCTGGCCGCCGGTGTAGATGGAGTTGAGGTCGGCAGCAGTGTGGAACGGGTGGGGGTTGGGGACAAAGCCGCCGGTGTCTGCGCCGCACGAGGTGATAGCTGAGATCAGCCACAGTGTAGGTAGCAGAACGATGGCACCCGAGGCCATGGTAGAACTCTGAAACATGACGTAATTGTGCAGGCAACGATAGCAAGGTGGCACTTGCGGCCAACAGAGCCGCAGGTTACAGAGAGGGAGGTAGGAACTGAAACATTGCGATGTAAGATTGGAGGCAAAGGATTGAGGACGTTTGAACACCGTCGATGTCAAATGCTGTTTTCAATCTTGCTTACTCAAATATGTAGCTCGATAATGTGTTGTTATCTCAAGTGCTCCGCCCAATGTTCACTTGAAAGGTATTTGTTTCTGATGATGGCATTGGTATCATTGCAATGCAGATGTAAAACGGAATAGCATAAAACTCTGACGTTCAGAGGTGTGCACCAAATTGGGAAGGAAAGAAGACCGAGTTTTGTGCATAATTTCCGAATTCGATGTTAGTGACCAAATTGTTGGTGTATTGATAATGTTCTCATTCGATAATGCCATAAATACTTGTTCCACTCATTCGTACAAAGATACGATGAGGCAATCGAAAATCATTATCCACTTTCTTGTTAGTACCTTGGGAATTACTCTTCTCCAGACATTTTCCTACTTTCTCGTTACATCCATTCCAGTTCTAATTGCCGTCATCATATGTCAGACGCCATTCTCACAGACACAGAAAAGGCCGGTGAAAACTGTTCGCTTTTCTTTTATCGAATGATACCGTGACGAGTACCACGACAGGCCAGATGTAACCAGCCGTGACGCCAGCCACGTGTAGTACCCGGCGTCACGGGTGGCGTCACGTGACGCTGCTATGGCCCGTGACAGACGATATAGGATATCGGTGTCCGGTCGAGCCCCGATTCACGCTATCGTAATAACTCAAACATGGGAGATAGTAAATATTGGTAACGTAACTATTATAAAAAATGGACCCATGTATGATAGGCGAAAAATGGGCAACGAAGGTGATAAGCAGTTCAAAGAAATAAATCACAAAATGATAATGTGAAGTAGCAATGGGGGTCAACACAACAGCTGGTTAGAACTACTGGTTGAATGAATGTTGATAATATTATGATATATCAAATATGCAGGTGCTGTCGATGAGCATAACATGCACGGTCTCACGATCAACTCGTAATCGTGGCCTGGCTATCACATTTATTTAGTCTTATCACCCACCCATCCATCTTATGTTCTTTGAGAAACATTCGAGACAGCTAGCGACTCAAAGTGGGCTTACAGTTATAAATACGCGTTATGAAGCTTCCCATAACTTCTAAGGCGATGAGTAGCCGGTTTCCGGGACTTGTTGTGACGACAAGCAGGCTCCATACGCGAGAAGCGGAACATTACCGTGAGAAATGTAGCCTTTAAACTATGGGAAAAGACGTGCAGACTCAACAACAGTATGAAACAACAAAAATAAGGAGGTTGGCTCGAGCCAGGTTGTAGTTTTAAGACTGTTAAGATCCTACTATCAGAACAGAGAAATCAGGATCTCATACCGAGCACTGTTAATTATCACCTTAGGTGATAAGGAAAACACGTCTTCATATAATATAAAGGAAATGAAATATAAGTATTAAGTACATAATGGCATTGCCGAAATACCACGCTTAAAATGTCTAAAAAGGTTTAGAAAATATTCAGATAAGGTATGAGATGCTGTGATTAGAAAGGCATGTAAAGGACGTTGTAGGTGGTACTGATACAAAATCCACGTCTTCGTAACGTGCAGATGACATCACGATAGTTTGAGAAAATAAATGTAGCAAAGACCTTTAATTGGCTTATGACTTATGACTTATTGACGTATGATTTACAGTAAAACTTTTTTTTTAGAACAATACATACTTGCATGCTTAAAGACCAAAACTTGATGGGCTATTGATGAGAAAATTGAGGTGTCTAATAACCTTTTAACAACTAACAACTTACGATTAACGATTCTATGAAGATTTTACTGTAGCAATTTACGAAAAGTCTTCGCTGCATTTACTTCTCAACCTGTCTAATTTCCTGATGATAGTCAGGAAAATGAAATAATCATTTCGTAAATTCAGCATGGCAGAACGAGTTTTTGCCATGGCAACACATATGTTGTCATAAGCCAAAGTTATTTGTTCACTTAATCAGAAGTAAGGATAAAAGTAGGAACTCTAAATACGCTGCTCCGTATCTAATAATAGTCCATCAAATGAACGGTTTTAATTCGATAGGTTGCGTACGGTTGATTCAGTTAATATTAGTAAATTGTACTTGTATTATGTATAATTTGTCATAGTCTTCTTATGTTGTTCAATTGATTAACTGGTTGTAAATTCAGACATTGGTCAAAATTCTTTTGATCAATACTACCATCTTAGCCTTCCAAAAAAGTTAGAGCTTTTGTTCGTTACTTTTCACTTTCCCGGATTTCAACGCCGAAAGAGCTTCATCATCACTTTCCGGTTTCGTCTCAAAGGCATTCCGTTGCCATGGCTGCCTTCTCCAGCCATCCGCTCGACCCTCCTCCACTCACCTCCTGCGAGTGAGCGCGCCTGGAACCCGTTGAAGCCCTGCGCCGGCTGGTAGTTGTTCTGGTAGCTGGCGTACGTGTCCGGCTCGTACTGGTCGTAGCGGTTGTAGGCGAGTCCCTGGCCGCCGCCGCCGGCGCCTCCGAAGGCCAGCAGCAGCAGCATCAGCAGCAGACCTAGCACCAGCACCACGCCAATGGCGCCCAGCACGTACTGGCCCACGTTGTCCGTGTTGCTGCCGTTCAGGATGATGAAGAAGCGCGGGTCGATGACGTCTTCCATGCGCGAGGCCAGGTCCAGGTCCAGGCCCTGGGCGGCGCCCATGGCGGCGGCGAAGGCGGCGGCGGCGAGCATGTTGCGTTCCTGGGTCGGAGCGGTGCTGAGGACGGGGACGGCGGCCGGCGCACTGATGTGCCGCCGTCACGGACCCGCATATAAACACGAGTCGGTCGTGACGTCACGGACGGCGCTGGGTGGCCGCCGGCGCGTCGAGGTTTCACCTGAGGTGTGTTCTGGAAGCGGCGGCAGCTGCACGGCGACGAGAGAAGGCACACTCCCAGCCCCACTGTGCGCGCTTTTGTCGAGAAATGGCAACCGCTTATGCATATCCTCCGAGCTGAGCACGATTGATATTGCAAGGCACGCACCCGGTTTGAATGACAATGAAGCAGCGCCGCTGTTGAAGCATTCATCGTCGGCACTTTGCGCGCGCCGGGTGAACTCGGTTGACCTACTGCAGACCTCACGCACTGCCGAGGTCGCGGCTCGGCCTTACCGCCCAGTGTAAAAAGCCGGATCGGCGTACGACGGTCACGCCGAACCGTTAGCCTCAGTGGTTGATGACGCTATTTTGTCACGCTGGTATGCATCTTGAGGAGCTGCGAGTTAATTTATGTGATGACTCATCAATGAAGAATGCTTGCTAGGACGAAGGCGAGTGGCGACGAAGATGTACGACGTTATGTCCTACGAGCTTCGTGCACTAATGCGGCGGACACAAGCACTAAAGTTGATCAGTATGTAATCATGCTTTCATGACCATTCTCGATATTACCATTCCACGGCACGAAAATTACCAGGAACTGACATATATGTAGGTAGGTACTATGTAGATGTGAATCCCATTACTCGAGGGCAGCGCTTTTCGAGCAGCGCTGCGGCCCGAAGGTTGGGACTTCGAATTGTGAAAAAAACGCCCGCCCTATGTAGATGTGAATCCCATTACCATTACATCAAAAATGACAATACTTTCGGATAGTTGTATGTGAGTAACGTGTTGCAACGTTGCCATTGAAGAGTTGCCGGGAGACATCATGCTATATCATATGTCAATGCTGCCTATTGTCCTACGCATGATAAATGTGTAAAATGAATTATGCATCAAATGGTGTTGTTACAGGTACTCGTTGAAAGGGTCAATATTTTTTTGTTTGATAGTTGCCTCAAATGTAATGTACATTTGCTGCAGACAGATGTCAAAAAGTTACTCGAGCAGGTGGTAAAAAAATTGCACGAGTAGGTACCTATCTGTGCAGAATGCTGCTTCCAGATCTCAGGAACGGCTGGGCCGATTGCATTCAAATTTGGCACACCGCTAGCGACCGGTCAGAAGGGTGCTTTGCACAAGCCCGTTGGAAGTACCCTCTCGCCCTTCCGCACGTGCAGCCTGCAGGGCTCACTATCTCGTTCGCTCGTTCTTCGCCCAAAAGGCGTTTTACTGGTTATTTCTATCAGATTTGACCTAACGTCAACGGTTTTGCCTGCATGGGGCAAAAACTGCCAAAATAACCGATTTTTTAACCCGCGCACCGACGGGGGTCTGCGCCAACTTAGTACCGACGGGGGGGGGGGGCGGATGACCGCCCCCCCCTGAGATCTCGAGAACGAAGCAAGATAGCGACAAGCGGTAAACGGCATCGGATACGCACGGACAAGGTCTACAATTTTTACTAAGGTCATTTTCAGGTCAGGTCAAAGATGACGTCACAGGGGTCGAAAAAGTCAAAATGGCGGCGCTAGATATGGAGAGGGTTTTTCTCGAATAACTTTCGAAGTAGTCAAGATAGGAACAAACTAAGGGCATCATCGTGATCCTCTCGTCGATCCGCATCGAATGATATATATGTTGACCTCGAAAGGTCAAGGTCAAAGGTTGACCTCAGGTCACGTGACCTCGAGGTCATCATGTATATCATTTGATGCGTCTTGACGAGCTGAACACAATGAGACTATCCGCGCGGCTGTATCTTGTTCCTGTAAGGAGTTATTGGCAAAAAACCTTTGGTGACCTTTGATGACGTCACATGACCTTACAGCTGCCCAACAGCAAAACAGACCTCAAGGTAGTGAAGGTTGATCGTATGTGAAGTCATGTATGGTATATGGGGCCATTCCGACCCGTTTTAGTGGTAAAAACAGGGAGTTGATTTTTCCCCCATTGACTTATAATGGGGAGGTCGCGAAATTGACCTGACCTTAGGTCACCGACATCAAAATTCCGAGATATACAAATTGTAGCTACTAATGACCTAATAACATCCTGCGACTTTCAAAGGCCTCCGACATCTACTGTAGCTCTGGCACGGTGACAAAGTTGCAAAAAAGTGACTTGAGGTTGGGTCATTCAAAGTGACCTGGTGACTTGACCTTAAAAGTTAGGAGGTTCAAACTTGCACACCATGTGTAAAATTGATGAGAGAATAGTCATACCAAATTTCGCGGCGCTACGCGCCGCGGTTTTCCCGCTATCCGCGAAAAACCTCAGGGGGGGGCGGATATCCGCCCCCCCCCGTCGGTGCGCGGGTTAAAACAGTTTTTTTTTTCTGCAATAACGCTTGATCCAGACATTGCACGAGGTTACTTTTACCGGCATCGTGTTCCTCTCGTCAAGACGCATCGATTGAACTATAACTTGACCTTGAAAAATCAACTTGTAAATTTGACATCAGGTCAAGGTCATGACCTGACCGAAAATGGTCATGTTGCATATCAGTCGATCCGTATCGTCGAGCTGAACACACAGAAGACATTTTCAAAAGTTGACCTTAGGTCACGTGACCTAAGATCAACTTTTGACCTTTCGACCTTTCGAGGTCAACATACATATCTTTCGATGCGGATCGACGAGAGGATCACGATGGTGCTATTAGTTTGTTCCCAGCTGGGATACCTTGAAAGTTATTCGAGAAAAACTTCATATATATGTAGTGCCGCAATTTCGACTTCCTTTTTGCTCCTGTGACGTCATCTTTGACCTGACCTGAAAATGACCTCAGTAAAAATTATAGACCTTATCCGTGTGTACCCTGCACCGTTTACCGTTTGTCGCTATCTTGCTTTATTCTTGAGATCTCGCTGTCGCTCCCGCTCGTCACGTGACCTAAGGTCAACTTTTGACCTTTCGACCTTTCGAGGTCAACATACATATGTTTCGATGCGGATCGACGAGAGGATCACGATGGTGCTATTGGTTTGTTCCTAGCTGGGATACCTTGAAAGTTATTCGAGAAAAACTTCATATATATGTAGTGCCGCAATTTTGACTTCCTTTTTGCTCCTGTGACGCCATCTTTGACCTGACCTGAAAATGACCTCAGTAAAAATTATAGACCTTATCCGTTTGTACCCTGCAACGTTTACCGCTTGTCGCTATCTTGCTTTATTCTCGAGATCTCACTGTCGCTCCCGCTCGTAATAATGGACAGGTCATAAAAATGACCTGACTTGAGGTCAACGCCGGGCGATATCCACTTTTTTATTTTCGCATATGAACGACAATCGATAAGGCTTTAATCGTCATCAGACAAAATTGCAACTTTCAGTGGGGAAAATATCAAGGTCACTCTTTGAAAAATAGGTCAAAAGGTCACGTGATCAAAATTTTCAAAAAATGAAAATCCGAGATAGCCAAGATGTTTGTTGTCTGATTGTAAGTTGAACCATATAAAGTTTTTATGGTCGAAAACCAATAGTTTTTTAGTTATAGGCCGCCAAACATAGGGCTGCAGCGCGACCTCCAGGAATTGCCCGAGGCTATATCTCGGAAACCGTTGTTCGGAGAAAAAAATCCTTGCCACAGCTGGCTTCCCCGCCCATCACAACCCCTTACACCAGTTTTCAACGAAAAATAAAATATGAGGGTGCAAATTTAATTTTTTATTTGTCGATTTGTCGTGGAACGCCCCAAAAGTTATTTGCGAAAAAAACTCTTAGGTACCATTCCTGACTTGAGATGACCTCAGGGGCACAACAGGGGTTAAGGACACTATTTTCATGTTCAGTGTGTCTAAGTTACTTGTAATCCAGTGTTTGGGAGTGCTTATAATGGCTTTCGTCCAAAAGCGGCGCTTTTCAGTTTTCTCCCATTGACTTATAATTGGGAGGTCGCAAAATTGACTTAACCTTAGGTCATCGATGTCAAAATTCTGAGATAAGCATTTTGTACATGCTATTGCTCTTAGTAATCCCTGAAATCCCTGAAAGTTTCAAGGCGATCGGGCTCTCGGTGTAGCTATGGCAGACATTGAAACTTTTTATGAGGTGAGGTCACTTCAAGTGACCTGGTGACCTGACCTTGAATGACCTTAGTCTGAAATTTTTACAACATGTGTAGAATTGATGTATGATAAGGTGTGCCAAAAACAGCGGCGCGCCGCTGTTTTTGAGAAATTCGCAAAAAAAAAACACGGGGGGGGGGGGTGTCAAAAACACGCTCCAGCAGGGCCATGGCGCGGGTTAACCCTATTAGTGGCAGGGGGGGGGGGTTGTTTTTATCCACCCCTCAGGTTTTTCGGGAATATCTCCGAAACTGCTGAAGCTACGATGCTGAAATTTTCTGACTTTTCCTAAAACTAAATTGGGCACATTCCCTGAAAATTTCAAGTTCATAACTTTACCAGGGGCGGCTCCAGAGCACTGGGAATTGGGGGGTCCTATTCGTGAAGCGAGTCATTTGGGCGAAGATCACGATGCTGCACCAGTTTTACGAACAGTGAATAAAAGGTATCATGTGATAACATATACAGTTATTGTGCATCCTCTTTTGACACGTTTTTGCTATAATAGGCGGATCCAGGCGTCCAAAAAGGGGGGTTATGTTTTACCTCCCAACATAGGTGCCCTGACACCGCCTATGCATTACCAATACAATTTTAGTCGTTCTCTCATAAGAAAATTATAACATAACAAGACCATTACCACCCTTTTTAGAAACAGTACCAAGAAAAACCTTATTTACTATACTTTTTGTGTACCCCCAATCTCAATGATCTGTATCCGCCTATGATTTTTGAAAATGCATATTTTTAGGATCCATGTGAATTCCTGGTTCATTCTCTATCGATCGGCAAAAGTTGCGTTAAGATTGGTTCAGAAACCTGGCCGTGATAAACAGTCTAAAATGTATCTGCAATTTGCCCGTTTTTACCCCCCTCTACCCCCCTATTGACATTTTTTAATTTTTATTTTTTAGAAATGTAGATCACGTTGAGCGAAATCGAATGCCGTTTGAATTTTG